CTTCCAGTTTTCTTGTGTTTTTGTTGGAGGTAAGTGTCTCACAGATTTTCTTGCCCGGGCTGGCTTTGAACTGCAATCCTCAGATCTCAGCCTCCTGAGTAGCTAGGATTACAGGCGTGAATCACCAGTGCCCGGCTACCTATATTCTTTTTTTTTTTTTTTACATTCTACTTTTCCTCTGTTATTTCTTTTTTTTTAATTTTATTTTATTTGTGAACATACTGTACAGAGGGGTTACAATTACATGGACAGGAAAATGCGTACATTTCTTACCAAGCATTGCAGCCTCCTCCTTTGTTTACCCTTCCCATCCCTTCCCAGCCTCCCCCCTCCCCCCGGCTACCTATATTCTTATCTCTGCTCTTTGTTCAGAAGTTTCAAGCCCATGGTTAGGAGTAACTACACTACAGTATGCCAAACCCCAAACGAATACAGTTCTGCCATCATTGCTTCATGCCCCGAACTCTCTTCAGATACTACTTCATTGCTGGCTGGGTTGCCATGTTGGCTTCCCCTGCCTGTGCTCTCCCTAGATATAGCTTCCCATACCACATCCCCTTACAACACAGCTTCAGGGTAATCTTCTCAATGTGCATCTATGGAAATGTTGCACATCTTCCCCAGTCTTCAGTCCAACTTAATTAACTTGGGGCAATTTTATTCTTTCCACTAAAGAAAACATTTCTCATTTTCCTATGTATGCTGGCAACTCCAGACAATTGGACTAAAATGTTGTTGCTTGTAGATAACTAGCATGGCTACATTCGCGCCTTTTCTTTATATATAGATAGACTTAGATACAGGTATTCTTTCCTATAATTTTCTCTTCATGCTTTCTGTAATAGGAGGATAATAGTCCTCTAAAAATGTTCACGTCCTAACTACTAGAACATTGCACGGCAAAGGGAAATTAAAGTTGCAGAAGAAATTAGGGTTGCTAATTGGCTAACATTAAAATCAAAAGACTATCCTGAATTATCCCAATGGGCTCAAAGTAATCACATGAGGAAATATGACTAAGAAGACAGAAAAGGATGTGCAACATTGCTGCCTAGGGAGCCATAAGCACAAGGAACATGGATGGCCTCCAGATGCTGAGAAAGCAAGGAAACCAAGTCTCCCAGAGCCTCCAGAACAGTCCTGCAAACACCAATTTTAACACAGACCTATGACCTCCAGAACCACAATAAATTTGCATTATTTTAAGTCACCAAGTTTGTGCAAATTTGTTATTGCCTGCAACTGAAATCAAACACCACTGCATCTGTAATTATTCAAATATTACCTATCTTTCAGGATCCATTTCAGATCACTATAATGCAAAAATTATTCATCTCCATAGCACTCTGGGCAATGGTTACAATTCATTTCTCCTCTAAACCCACAAACCTCTCTGGGGGAGTTAAGAAGTAAATCACTGTCTCCGTCACTTCCTAACTGCACATCTGTGTGAAGTTTCTTAAACCTCTTTGTGCCTTAGGTTTCTTGTCTATTAAAAAAAAGTCTCTTAAGATTGGGAGGATTAGGGTTGGGGATTTAGTTCAGCGGAAGAGTGTCTGCCTGGTAAGCACAAGGCCCTGAGTTCGGTCCTCAGCTCTGGGGGGGAGGGGGGGAATTTTAAAAAAAAAGCTATAAAAGATTGTGAGGATTAAATACAGGAAACAATATACCTTTCATAGAACTATCACACATTAAGCATTCAATATAAAACATCAGTAATTATCAACAACTTTAATCTTCACCTATTTTTTAGTCATGTCAATACATCTATCTTATCACCATACCATTTAAGCATACACTTATTCATACTGATTTCATTACAGACAACCTTGGCCACATGGGAAACAGCCTAGAAATAAGAGCAGTATGAGACAAGTGGCTGCTAACTTCAGAAAGCTCACCTGAGAAAACAAGCAGAGTACTGCAAACTGGACCAAAAAGCAATGTGAACTAACATTTCCAAATTCAATTTAGCAAACGGGGGGGGGGGGGGGGGGGAGTAGCAGTGGGTAAAAAAATTAGAAAAGATAAATGTTTAGAAATAAAAGGCAGCTTTATAATCAATATTTTCAATCTTCTTTTATAATAATGTTAAAACAATACAGACAGAGCCATTTTAAAATCCTGTGATTATTTAAGAAGTCCTCCTAGATCATCCAAAATTAGCATTTACCATGATGTGAAGGTTTTAACTTCTACTGTGGCTAAAGAAACTGATATATTCTTTTTGTATTTCTGAGTAATGAAGTGTAACAACTCTATCAGGTACAGCTAGATGATAACTTCAACAAGTTAGTAGTATATATAATAAAATTTCCTTTCTTTCTAAAGAAAATAAAAAACTTTAAACTCCATATTTAATTAGAATGTAATAAAACATTGAAAAGTGTAATGACTTTTGGTGAAAAGGGCATTTTAAAAAATTATGAGCCTAACTATTTTTAATGTTTTAAAGTAAATAAAAAATCTCTATGAGGTTTATCAGCTTTAAAAAACTAAAAATTTAAAAAAGAAATCCGGAGATGTTATAAAATAATATTATGGACAAAATCTGTGGGAACTTTTTCATCCAAGAGCAAATAATCTGGCTACAACGGACTCAGGAAAACTAGAAACTTGAATCTCAGGTTGAGGTAATGTAGATTAAATTCTCTTAAAAGCAAAAGTATATTTGCTTGTTTACTTATGAAAGCTCAATTCTATTCTTTAACATAAGGGATACAAAAAATATGAAAGAGACATTAACTACCCAGTGAACTTCAAAACTTTACAATATAGTCCCCTTTGAAGGTACAGTAACTCCATGGAAAGAGAATTGTAGATAGTACATGAGAAAATTTTCAAGTTTTAGTTACATAAAAGACATACTTTAAAACCTCAAGTTTTAACTAGTTAGAAAATAATCTTAATTTGAAGCAACAATAATAGTAATGACTTCAAAATACTTAACAAGATAAACATGTGTGGGGATATAACAATGAACTCCTCCTCCCTGTATAACTGATATAAGCCAAACTAAAAATTAAATTCTCAATGACCATTACTGAATACTATGTATCAGACACTGAACTTGAAGCTAAGAATGGATCAACAACTAAAATACTCACCACCCAAGGAGATTGCAGTTTAATGGAAGATGTACGGGTGGAGCTGAAAAAGCTCAGTTGGGAGAATAGTTTAATGGAAGATGTCAATTGTACAGTATGACAAGTACTACAATCAGTAGTAATGTGAGTGTGTGGTGTTTGTGCTGTGGCTGCTACTGGTTTGCTGTGGATGCACAGTAGAGGGTGGGAAGGACTTAGCCCTGTAATGGAGGAAAAACAAACAGTCCCTCATATAATGGACAGGAAGTATGCCCGTAAAGTGAGCAGGGGAAGAATGGTCATTCCCAGTAAACTTTGTCACACACTAAGGACAACTGTCAAAATGGAAAACAATTCAGACTTTGATTATCTCAAGTAACTCAGAATAAGTGGTTACTAGAGTATAACTCAGGCAGTAGAAAAATAAAACTCGCTACAACTCAAAAAATTAAAGGTCCAAAGCAGGTACAAAGATTACTTGAAGAGACCAAATGATCTTGAACTGATAAGATTTGACAGACTTGAAATAGTAACAAATTTAAAAGAATACATTTATTCAAAAGGGACTGATCAGCAGTGTACATACAAGAAACATACAAAAAAAAAAGATACTCAAGAAGAATTGTGACTTTGCCTTGCTCTAGACGCTTATTCAGGAGAAAGTACACTAACACCTGGCCAGCAAATTTCAAGAATTATTGTCCAATCAGACTGTTCATAGAGAATTTAACAAAATCATATTCAATGAACAAATTATATATCTCAATGACTCATTCTTCCAATAAATAAATACTTATTAAATCTAGGAGGTCTTCATATCAGCAACAGCTACATATCTCATTGCCTCTGTTTTAATTTCTAATCTCTGAACTTTATGAGAATAGGTTTCTGAATCTTTAATACCAAAAGTCAGAGGTTGATCTATAACACATTACCACACCAACTGAATGTCACCTTATAGGGCTTTTTCTTTTTTTTAGGGGGGTGGGATGGGGGGGAGGTGGGGGCAGGGGGAAGGTGAAGAGAACTAACTAAAAGCAGGTAACTTCTTTAACCTTCTCTGGTCTTTGGCAGCAATATGAAGAATGAACCATAAGATGTTGAGAGAAAAAATGACCAGTGACAAACATGATGGCCTGTGGGCAGTAGAAAATATAGACAAATACTGGCTCCAAGAAAGAAAGGCAAAAGCAGTAGAAAAGTTAAGTCTATCAGCTATCAGCAAGAAATAAATTGCAGAAAAAGTGAACATAAGAAAGGCAAAGTCAAAAATAGCAGGCCAGCTTGATTAGTAGGAATGGGAAGCATTTCTCTAGGTGTTCCTCACACTTCAAGGAAGAGAAAGCTCTTTAATATTGTCATATAGGGACACAAAGCAACAAAATTCAGCAAATGCAAAAAGTATGAATGAGTACAAAAAAGTTCTAATTGGGAAGGCTTACAGACTAAGATGTGGAAAAAAAATATCAAGTCATGAGCCCTTTTTTTCCAGTTTAGAGCACATAAGAAAAGCATTTTTTAACTATGCACTCCAGGAATACATGGTTAGTATTTTGGGCAACATTTACCATAGCACAATGAAAAAGTGTTAAATATGATGTGCCAATAGTCATCTTATAATCTATTTTTAAGCCAAGGGTATTAGCTGGAAAGCCATACTTTTTACCAAAAAATGAGAAAAAAAATACCAGTGAAAGATATAAAATCCTGCTAAAGATTACATTATACAATTAAGTATAATCTGCAGACAAGAGATGTTTCAGAAAGAACTATTCCTTAATTCTTGAGCTTTTCATGATTTTTCTCTCCTAAAAAAATGTTCAACTACATCTTATTATCACATACCCAGAAAAAAAAAACCCATATTCCCAGTGGATACCAAATATTTTATGTGCAAGTTTGAGAAAAGCTTACCCAGTGTTGATGGAAATTATTTCTATCAGTGGATTCTTCCTAATCTTTGGCAAATCCAACCGTGCTCCCCCCAACCGCTTTCCATTATCCTTCTTCTGGCCCAACAGTCTCACAGAGTGACCTTCAAATCAAGCACATAAATAACATTAATATGACTCACACCATTCCACTTTAATCTATTGCTTGCAGCAAATGTGTTAATGTTTACATTTAACTTCTTTTATGAGAGGAAAGAAAAAAACTCTATAATCAAGAGCTAAAGAAGAAAAAGGTAGATAAAATGAACTTCATTCAATCAAAAAGCATTTACTTTTCAAAAGGTACATTTAGGGAAGATGTGGTCATTTCTCTTCATATTACCGGTAATTTTTTTCTCCCACCATATCAAAACCTGGACTAAGGATCCACTAATTAATACTTCACCGTTACAGATTTTCTTTTATTTTTCTTACAATTTTTATCTTTTTGTGATTATGTATTCAAGTCACTGTCCATAATCTTAAAATAACAACAACAATTAAGTTTTACTTAGTTCTTTGAACTCCCCATCTTCTAAATCCAACACTTTGGATCGCAATTAAGCCTGATGACTGCTTCTTTTTCCAAGAGTATGACTAGAGTTACTTTCTTAACACTTAACAGAATACTAAACATTTTAGATATTATAGTAAATCTCAACTTGCATTTCCCCACAAATTTGCTTTGTGTAGTAACTTATCTGGAACATATCTACAAAGCCTGTCCTCTCTACAGTGAAAAACAAGTGATAGATCTGCTTAAGTTTTTTGCTTTCAAACTTGACTTTCAAGGGGGTCACTTCTGCATAGGCATAGTATTTTTTTTGTCAGTTAAAAAACTGATCACACATTTTAAAAAATTATTTTGAGGTGGTAAGATTCCTGCTATATCCTGATAGATATTTGTATGAGCTAGGGAGGGAAATGTTAGGGTAACTTTCAAGTTGGCCTCTCCATTCATCTCGGGCTCCCCTAGGTCTTCACTGGACTCTTTGGGTAATTGCATGCAGGCTTCATCAAGCAAATAAGTGCATATGGGTGGTTTGATCACACTTCAGTTTCTGCTCTGCATACTGAGGAATTAGGCTTTCTAATGTCCCAGAATTCACTGTTAAATCCTTGCTAGTTTACTTGTCCTTTGTTTGCACCAAACAGAATAATCTCCTTCCAGGAATGCCACAGATCCCTGTCACTTAGCATCAGAATCTCCACTATAACTATCAGTTATCCAAATCCACTTGAACCATCTCAGCAGTAACAGTGATGCTACTGTTTCAGCCACAGCACAAACACCACACACTCACATTATTCTTGAGCAAAGTTCAGTTGCAATCACAAATAACTACTTCTCAATTTGCTAAATGCTTTTTAGTACATTTCCACATTAAGGTATAATTTCCTTTTGACTATCTGTCCAGTTTTATCATTGCTTTTATGGGAGACAGTCTACTTACCTCTACATGCAAGACAAGGGCAAAAAAAAAAAAAAGCAACTTTTTAAAAGTAATCACTTAAATAACCCCAAATGCATAATTAGTAAAGATTCTAACCAACTTTATACTTGTTTCATCACCCTTGTTCCATAAAGCTATATTGCTTATACATCTCCTAGCCAACTAACTATTCATGACCAGAAGTAATAAAACCATCATCCACAGCTTTTTTAGCACTCACTGCTTTAACAAGAAACGTTCATTCATTCATTCTGAAATTTTGTAGTCTGATATAAAAGCAAAGCAAAAGTCAAACAAGTATTTGGCAAAATAAATGTCACCAATTTTCAAAATAAATTGAACTCTCCAATCAAAAGTCCATTTAATGAAGAGGTGAGAAAGACTGGCATGATAACATAATAGTTCTCTGAGAGATACCAAAATTTCAGTAAGGACTATACCAAGGCATGCTATTTTCATACTAGCATAAGACAAATTTCATTACATCCTGCTGAGACTCCAGTAATATGTACCCTGCACTAATAACATTTGATAAATTATTCATCTTCACCATCTAGATGCAAATAAAGGAAGATATCTGGGCCTGATGACATAATGAGTTATTTTCCAATCCAATGATTCATTAAAAAGCAGCAGACTTAACAATAATCCAAGGCTGTTTTATTTTTTCAATTAAAATATATAATACACTAATGACAAAGTAGGAAATAACATAAAAGCTACTTGATATATCTGGCCAAAGACAAAAAGAAAGAAAAATCATCCATACAACAATTTTCCTTTTTTATGTTGTTTCTGGGACTTGAACTCAGTCTGTATGCTGCCCTTGAGATATTTTGCTCAAAGCTAGTGCTCTACCACTTCAGCCACAGTTTCATCTTGGACTTTTAATTGGAAATAAGAGTCTCATGGAAATTCCTGCCCAGACTGGCTTCAAACCAAGATCCTCAGATCTCAGCCTCCTCAGTAGCTAGGATTACAAGTAAAAGACACTAGGTCCTGACTTACACCAATTCTTTGTAATGGATTAGTAAAACAAAATGGGTAGTTCAGGTTATACCATTTCTTTTAAAAATGGTCTCAAATGGACTTTCTATTTCAACCTAACTCCTTAAATCTAAAGTCTACAGGGTAAGAATCATTTATTATGCATAATCACTTTTTTATGTATAACTATCAATATAAATCGTTATAAATAAAATATAAATTGGCTAAAATGAATTGAAATTTGATAGAATAAAAATTAAACTTAAGGAGATATCTTAAAGAAGCCAAGCCTAAAGAAGAAGAAGAAAAGGAAACAAGGGCTCAGTACCAGAGAGACATACAGAGGGAATTGAAATGAGAAAAAAAGGAATTAGTGGAGCAAATTTATCCTGAAAATAAATATGCTGTACCTACCACAACAAATTCACGTGACTATGTTGTACTAGCAGTGATGGGAAAGGATGACTGCTCAGGGAATACTCATTTATTTGTGAATTCTATCAGTTGAGGGAAAGAGAAAAAAAGAAATAATAAAATTTAAGAAAAAAAGGAAAGTGAAAATGTTCATTTTTACATAAAACCCATGTTAATAAGAAAATGAAGAATCACTAATAGAAATAGAGAGGAAGCATAATCGTCAGTGGGACAGCTGATAAGAATGTGAGACTACTGAACAGTCAGTGACAAAGATGTAGGTAATTAAAATACTGATGTATAATTCTAATGTATGGATGAAACAGAACACTAACTTTCCATGTAGAATGTGATGCACCAAGCACTGTTTCTGAGAGCTTTTGTCTTTTCCTGTAAGTAGAAATTCACATTTCATTCTTCTGAATGATGGTCAAAGGTGACTCCACTGTTTTATTAATCATCTTTTAAAAACATTGTTTTATTACATATGAGTGTCACATAAAAGTCAACCTGTTCCAATGAAATTCAATTTTAAGCCTTAAACGCTTTCAGTGGTTATTTATAAATTAGCTACAGACCTTGATTCCATGATGGTATTTGCATTTGGTCAAATACACTATATGATGTTACTAAACAAACTTTATCATTTAAATCATATACTGAAAATTTTAAAACTAAAGCCAAGCACTGCTGACTGACGCTTGTAATCCTAGCTTCACAGAAGGCTGAGATCTGAGGATCATGGGTCAAAGACAGCCCAGGTATGCAAGTTTGTGAAATTCTTACCTCAAATTAGTCACCAAAAAAGCTGGAAGTAGAGCTGTGACTCAAGTGGCAGAGCACCAGCCTTGAGCACAAAAAGCTCACACAAAGCACGTAGGCCCAAGTTCAAGTCCCAAGTCTGTCACCCCCCACACACAAAAAGCTCAAGAATAGCATCCAGGCTCTAAATTCAAGCCCCAGGACTAGCTGCATACATGTATATGTACACACGTACAAATGTACACAAACACACATGCAAATTAAACTAAAAATTTTCTACCGGGAAGTGGGTACTTAAAAGGGGTGAGGCCAAGGTAAAAGTACTTGATGAAGGATAAGAGAAGAGGAAACATGTAGTCAAGAACTCAACATATATCCTATAATATTAACAAGAGAAGAGGGGTAAGTAGGCAAGCGATGAGTAAGAATGTTGAAAGGAGTGACAATTGATTAAGATGATGCACTGAATTCATAAACTGCTTTGTTAAATGGCAACACATTTGTAAACTGCTTAAATAAAAAATTTTAAAGTAAAAACCTGTTTAATTCATTAGTATATATGTATTAGCAAATTCATCATACTAAAAGGTCCATGTGAGAAAAGCCCAAAGTGTTATACATTGTTTGTACAATAATTTCTACACTAGTTGAATTCAGTGTTTGTCTATGGATCTTTTAGGGCCAATCTTTCCTAAATCCTACAGTGTTAACTGTACTAACACTAGAGAGAGAAGGGGAAATATCTCCCTCATACATAGAAGGCAGGCCAGCTTGCCTTCATATCAGAAAGGCATTTATACTGGTATTATTATTGGTCACTCACAAGACAGGCAAGAACCAGGCCTGGAACAGGCATATATATTAATTGAATGATAGAAACATGATAATGTACAAAACCTATACACATATTTACTAACTAATTTATGTTTGTAGCTCCTCTGATTCTCACAAGCTCAACAGGGTACTATTTATCAGCTTCACTGCATCACACATATTACATAAACACCAACCCTCTGGCAACATGGACTCTTATTGTTTACAATTTCCCCTTTTAATTTCTTTTCCTTCTATGTCTCCATAGAAAGGCTGGAGTCTGCTTCAGTACTTTGTTCAACCCAACTAATTTTAAAGGCTATTCATTGTTTCCTGACTTTGTGACCACCCACCTCACCAGCACCAGAGTGCTTGTGCCAAGTTGTCTTGATCTCTTGCTGACTGCTCTTACGTTACACAACTCTGGTACTATTAAGACCACACTGAAAGACTTGTCTAAACCCTAAGCTCTGGGTCAGCCTGCTGGAAAACTTCCTAGGAAAGCAATCGAACACAATGCTGGGTAAAAAGAATAGGAACACTTTGGTAGAAAATTCAAGTCACAAGGAATAAAGAGTAAATGTACTTCAGCTATCCATTTTTACTTGATCAGAACAATTTAAATAGTATCACTGAATATTAGAAGTCCTCCCACCATTTCATCTGTTTTGCTA